CCCCCCCCCCCCCCCCCCCCTATTTATTTTCCTATATTGACATCAAGGAATGGCTGCGGTTTGGTCCTACCGATCACAAATTTATATAGTCTAACTGATGTCGATTGAAGTCTCATCGCAATAGCATCTCTAAAGCTGCTGTCTGATAAGCTGCCAGTACCTTATAAAAGTAATATATGTTGTTTTGATGAACCACTGGCTGTCTTTTCACTCGTGAGCTCCAGGTGTCATGAGGAGCTTTAATGTTCGCTTCATGCCCGGACAAGCGTGTGTACTTTCTATCTTTTCGTTTTCTTGCCATTTCGGACCACTTTGAAAATGCAGTCGCTTGTGGAAGTTATAAAGTCTTAGGTGGCAGTTTCGTGGACTACTTTACATTTTTATCTTTGTCACCAAAAAAATGTTTCGTTGAAGTGGAACTGCAAAGTCAGCCGAGCAGTGCTTGCACAGCAGTACAGCTGATGATGCCTGCAGTCACGTCATGCTGGTATTTTTGAAAGCTGGCACAATTTATGCGACTTCGTTGTATTCACAATTTTTGAACAAGAGATAAGAAGATGGAGTCCAGGAAACATAAGTGAAGGAGCATCAAATATGAGTTACTAGAAGAGAACAGACGAGTAACCGACCGTCAGTAAATCCTTAAACATTCTCTAAATTACATACTTATTCATATTTATTAAAGGATCCGTCAACCCTTTTTACAAAAATATATTTTTTTTACTTGCGTATTTAACAGTTTTTTTTTCGCTTGAACAGCTTTCTACACAAGACATTATCCCAATACAAAGTGTTGACAGTGTGGTCTGTAGATTCTTATCCTAAGTGACGGGGACGTTGTTTCTGAATAAACACTTAAAATAAATAGAACACACAACCTGCGAAAATATAATTGATCAATGGTCAAGCTGCACGACAACAAAATTCCATTCAACCACATATTAGAGGGCTTCAATAGAAGTTTAAGTAGCGATTGTCACAAACTTATCACAAAAAAACAAAATGATCCGCATGGTGAGAAACTAGGAGGGGTAAATGTAATAATTTGGAATTAAATGAGGAACTAAAGTGAAGACCGCCAGCTAGTAAACACCGATGTGAACAATGTAGGATGTCAAATATTAAAAAATCAGTTTTGCAAATGTTCTATGAGGAAGGAAATGTGAGGAAATGCTTTCAACACTCCAGTTAAAACCTCAAGAAATACACAGTCTGCTTTTGGTGAGAAACACTGAATGTAAACGATTTCTATTGTAAATGGCACAAGGCACCTTTAAATCAACTTTTAATTAACTTTGAAAATACAGGAGCTGGTGTATTTACATAGTTCCATACTGTAATGTATTACATGTAGACTGTAGAGTATAGTTTGTGAATACAAGTATAAGTAACGACAACAAAGGTCTAACATTTTAAATCACGGTTGAGTTCATCTTCGGGCTGTACGTTTTGTTCGACCTTTCACTCACGTGGTTGGCTGTTGACTTCTCCAGAAAGATGTTTTTCTTGCATTTTTCCAAAGACGGTTCAAGTGATTCATTTGCTATATAGTAATTACACTAAATTGTTGTGGCATTTGTGCTCGACTCTTCTTCTTTTTTTTTTTAAGAAGCAGCCACACTTTTGCTTTCACACTTTGCATCTCCCTCAGTTTTTGTTTCCCTCGGTCTGAAGGTTGCTGCCTCTGAACTTCTCACTTGAAACAGCCGGCAATTTACATGCAATGGAACATCATCACATGAAAATCATTTTGACAGATGGGGAGATGTGTTCTTGGATGCAGACCGGGTTTGAAGGTCTTGTTTTGCACTTCAATTGTATGTGCAGTCACTTATTGACGAGGCTAACAATAGCAATGAAAGCACGAGTGCAACCGGCAGCACCTTTCCATTTAAGAATGCTTTTAAAGGTAGGTTATTTATTGACACGGCAGTCTGATTGGGTTTTCTTTGGGGAGTTGCTTTGGTTCTGCTGGCTTGGACAAAGCAAATTTCACTGGGGTTGAAAATGTGGCACACGCAGTTGATCAAGCCTCAACAGATCATCACGACAGTGGATATTAATTTCCTACATGTGCTGTTATTGTTCTAGCACAGACAAGATAGCCATGGAAGCTAGTTTTTAGCTCTTCAGAAGTTGGTACCATATTTCTTTCTCTTTTATTCTGCTCATTTATGAAGTAATTTGATTGTCAGCTGTGGAGGACTTAATCACCACTCACCTGTATACATTTAATTTGGCATTGGAGCTACATAAGAGGGGATAAGTCATTTCACGAGAGGTTATTTTGATGCCTGTGCAGCAGAGCATAACTAACGACATTGAAGAATTTTCCTTTCTACACCCACGTCTCCAGTGGAAAAGATGTGCTCTGTTCAGGTTCTTCAAAAGAGACGTGCACTCTTTTCCTGCTCTCTAGCTTAACTGCGGTGAATAGCCTTTTTGGAGTGTGCCGGTTTCAAAGGCACATGAAGGCCGCCTCCCACACGGAGAGCTCCACCGTGGACAAAGCAGAAAGGACCCCACACATCTCGTGTTCCCTTCACTTTACACCCAAGTCGACAAAGTCAGTCTGCCCTCGATTTAACCAGGTTATTAAAGTATAATTTCACGACTTTGACTTTGGTTTCATAATGATGCCCGTTATGTTAAAGTTTAACTGAAGTCACATCATCCCTTTTTTGTAGTCAACAATAATGTCGATGTGTTATTAATAGCTTTCTTTTATTAAAAGGAGGAAAACGGGTCTTAAGTGAATCATCAGAAATTGTCAGAAAACGGTGAAACCTAAACTCTGGTCTCCAGCCTGACAGTCAAATATGCTTCATACCCGTCAACAATTCCCAGCAACACAGTCACAAGACCTCATTATGTTTTAAATAAAGCTCTTATTGGATCATCCAACAGCCTCTGAAACCCCTTTTTCCAAGCGACAGTTTTTGTAACCTCCAGAAACCGACAAACTGTTGGTAGCATCCACTTAACGCAACAGATTGGCCGGATGGTGAAAGTTAAGGCAGAGTTGGAACTTTTGTCTCAGGCTTTCTTTTATTGGTGTTCACACAACTATTGTACTTCCGTCTCTTCTTGTGTGCTCAACGGAGTGCAACACCACGAATTCCTTCGAGGAGAGACTGTCCACACGTAAGCGCCATTATCCCCATTTTTCTGCATCGTTGTGTTGAGACTACGAAGATGTTCAAAAGAAACATTTTGGGGAGGCAGTGTGACGCAGCCTGGAGGAAAGCTCTAATGGCGTTTTGCTCCATTTGAGGAGGATCATTTGGAGCAGGTATAAACGCTCGTACAACATCCTATTAAGTAGTAATTTGTTGGCTGTATCATTGTACAACATGAGTGTAATTTCTAGGGTTTCTGGGCTTGACCCTGAAATAATTGAAAACCATTAGTGAAACTACAAGATTTTAATGCTAATCAGCAAAATGCTTGCCAAACTTAGACACCAGTGTAGTTGTGGAGGAGTAGGGTAGTTTTATTTTTGACATATTTTGTTCTTCCCATGATGATTTAATGTTCCTCTTAAAGTGGTGAAAATACACTGTGAAAATACTCCACTACAAGTAAAAGTCATGCATTCAAAACCTTACTTCAAAGTATGAAAGTGTTATCAGCAAAATGTAGAGTATGAAGAGTATTCATTGTGCAGTAAAATGTTTACTATTACATATGATATTTTTGGTATAATAGTACTGCTGCATTAACATGTATGTTGCATTTTACTGCTGTAGTTGTCTCAGGTTGTGATCATTTTATCACTTTTTATATACCGTTGGGTTGTTTAGTCTTCAGCAATGCGTCATATTCTGTAAGATCATACGTTTGCAGTTTTGCTGTCCTGTGAGAACCGTTTATCTCTTAAAGACATTTCATGAGCGCAGTAAAAAAGTATTCAGCTTTGTGCATTTTCCAGCTGATCCAAGTGTTCTCAGTCCATAAAGCGACTCCTTGTACTTCAGTTTATCACAGACATTAAAATTCAGACTCATCAAATGTGGAGATGTGTTGTTTGCGTTGTACCGGAATCTATAAAGTACCCGAAGCAGCCAAATAAATGCAGTTGAGTAATGTGCAACATTTGCCTCTAATAAGGATAAAATTGCGTAAAGTGTGAATACCGTAGTAAAGTACAAGTACCTTGATTTAAGTGAGTACACTTGGTTACAGTCCATCACTAATCATTCGTGGGTGAAGCCCTTATTTGTTCCTGTGCCGTGACAACACAGGTTCTCCAGAGGAATCCTGTCCGTTTTCCACACTAGTCCCTGGAGTAGACTTCTGTTACCGGGCAACCTGACAGTGACAGAGTCTGGTCATCTGTTCCCGCCTCCACCCGTCATGCCTTTACATTCCTCATGTTCCACCGCACTCGTTTCATGTCCTCCTCAAATGTCAGCCGAGCAGAGATAATCAAAGCGTGTTGTTCGGTTATGTGTGGTGTGTTGAAACGCAGTAGTGATGTGAGTAATGCCATCACGTTGAATCAACATTTGTCAGCCTGTAATGTATTTACACATCTATTCTTGTGCTCTTTTCTACTTCTATTCATGTAATATGTGGAGTACTTGTTTTTAATACTAAGGGGCTAAATATTAACCAGAGATCAATTCAGTTCCACGTCTTGCTGCTCTAGATAGTGAGATACAAGCAGTGTATCATAATGGAGCCTAATTAGTTTCAGCTCATTAACTGTGACTTTGGCTTAACTACTCACACATTTCTTTACAGGAATTAAGTCATTATGGGTTGACTTCTACTCGTGAAACCACAGGGTCACACCTGTGCCATGAAAGCAACTTTAATACGTATTCATCCGCAACAAATCTTCCATATTTATTCATTTTTTGGGGGGGATTGGGTTTGTACTTGCAGAGATACAAGGCCGGGAGGTGTGATGAGATCCTCAAGTGGAAGCCGCCCAATCTCAACTCTGTGGACTTTCGCCTGAAGATCACCAAAGTCGGAGGAGAAGGGTAAGTCACTGTTGCCAGGGAAACACACTGCCTGATGAGTCTAATAGCACCTATCGTTTTTTGTGACACACTGGAGCCCTTCACACACACACACACACGCACACAAACACAAGTACCGTTTCTTTGTGTGTCTGTGTCAACGGCAATGCTTTAATCTTTTTTTTTTTCCTCCCATTTCCTCTTTGCCTTGGGGATCAATTCCCGTTACAGTTAGGGTGCTACGGTGTGCAAACGTTCATTCCTTTCACCGTCATCGCCTACATGAGCTTTTGTCTCCAGCCCCAGAAATGTTGTATTTTTGCTATATGTGCAAAGAAGAAAACCTCACTGCCTTTCCCTTTTTTTCCTCATTTTCTATGTTTATCATCCTCTGCAACATAAATTATTCAGATCCACTGGTGCTCGTCCCAGCCCTTATCCTGTTAAACATTAGAGCTCTGCCGAAAAACAATTCTGTAACTAGAAACAACGACCGATTTCTGGAGATCATTACAGCCTTTGGTACACAGTCGTATCAAATAGAAGCTAGCTGTAACATTGGTAGTTTGTATTGGATGTATTGATCTTTTGACACCAAGCAGGTTGACATTTTTGGTCATCGGATAGATTGTCGTGACTTTTGGTACAAATGTTCATGGTGCCCAGAGGATGCATCCTAATACCTTTGGTCATCCCTTGACTTTTCTTTTAGTGGCACCATGTGGTTGGCGTTAAAAAGATATTTGACAAATACTAAACTATGGATGGATTGCCATGAGATATGGTACAGATATTCACATTCCACTTAGGATGTATCGTAATAACTTTAGTGATCACTAAGCATCTGGTCAAATTTTGAATTTGTTCCCTGCTAACACGTTCATTTACAATGGCGGACGTGGTACTTTCTAAACATCCGCATACGAGCGTTGTAATTCTGAGCACGTTTGCATGCTGACATTAGCTTTTATCTCAAAGCAGCACATTGTGCCTAAATGCAATCTCTCAGAGCTTCAAGCACGTCTTGTAGACTCTTATTCTTGTTATTTTTCCGTCAGTACAATGCATATCTCTTTGCTCTGTGTGCTTTTTTCCTCCGATGAGTCCGAGTATTGTCTGAGTGCCACTGAGCTTTCTTGTCACGCTGCATCTTTCGTCTGAGAGCCAGGTTTACCTTAGCGACTGTCCCAGCTTTGTAGCCGTGAGCCTGCCACCATTCACCAACAACAGACTGAGAGGATCACAGCAGGGCACAGCCAGCCAGCTAGTCAGCCTCTTAACTCCTCCCTGTGAGTGGGAGAACACAGACGATCATTGTTGCCATTGGAGAACGTTCTGATATTTCCCCTGAAAGATGAGTTTTGCTGGCAGAGGGAGCAATCAGCAGACCTCATTCAGCCTCGGTGTAGGTTTTCAAATCTCTCCTTAGTTACTGTCTGAGGGAGAGAGATGGACAGATATATCGGAGGTAACAACTGTTTATTCATCAGTCCTTCAGCACGTCTTTGTGTGTACCACGGAGGCATATACAGCCTTGCAAGTTTTATTACCTTCTCTGAAAGCAGGCAAAGAGGCAGACAGTGATTACTGAGTGGCAGGAAAATAACAAAATGGAAAGATGAAGCAATCCCAGAAAGCCTGCCAGTGCCCCTCCCAAGTGTGGAACTGAACAGTCTTTAGTATTGTATAGATAGCTTGACTGGGGGTTACATCATCATTCGTTAGTGTTTTTGAAGGACCCGGAGAAGGAGAATGGTACCTTTTGATTGGCTTGTATTGGCTCTCTAGAGGCCCGAGTCCAGGCTTCATGTTACCGGTCTGTCTACTCTGTGGACTCAAGTGTCATTACAGCATCCCGATCCATATTTTTGTGAAAAGTAACCCAGTCAGGTACTTTCAACTCTGACTGATGATGTAATAGCGTCAAAGTGAAGTTAACGACATATGATCAGTGCTGTTATTCTCGACTGTATTGCCGTGAGAATTCTAAAATTCAAACCATTATAGAGACTCTGCATGGTGTCAGAATGCCAGATCTTCAGATGCATTATTTCTGCAGGATCAGTTGTAAGAGACAACCAATCCGACCATTTTTAGAAGCTGCAGAAAAGGATTTGGGTGAGAGAGACATTCACAGCAAGTAAAGTGTAATTCAGAGCAAGTGGATCTGACACGTCCAAATAGCTCGTGCTATCGTTACAGACGACCCCTCCCACAGCTTTTTCCCCTCAACCCGTGTCCTGCGCTCTCATAGGCTGTAGCTCCACGACAGGTCCAGATATTTATCATGCTGGATATCCGAAATGCGTCTGCGATGCATCGCCGAGCGTCTCGGTTTACGTCTTTTGAACAGTTCACACGTATCGCTCAAGTGCCGAGCACCGAGTCGACACCAAATCACCAATTTGCTTCTGATCTGGGACTTACAAAAAGGCGTGGAGTGTGAACTAGGCATTAGTCAGCATATTTTAAGGATAATGTTGGCAATATTTGATTTTTTTCTGTTATCGTCCACAAATCAATTAAAAGACCAAAAACAACGAGGCATTAGTCCATCCAGATATATAGCATGGAGTAATGACACATACCACAGCATCTATAGCCTGAGTTAGTTTAAAACTCTTACTTCTAAATGGGTCTTACAGAAACACTAAACTCAACAACAAAATATACAAACCAGGGGTTGCACAGTAAAACTCAATGACGAGCTCCAGATCATTCAGGACCGTGTGACTGGTTCTTCTTTAAATGGTGTTTCTACTTGAGTTTAAAATGATCCACTTTATGATCCATTTTAAGGAGCTCGACATATTGATTCCCCCAACAGAAATATGAAACTCTGAGGCAGAAACCCATTTACGTACCTCTATGCTCTCCCACTTCCTGACCCTGTCTGAGGCATTCAGCCACCCTGAAGACGAATATATCGTGTACTTTGTATACTTTGTATTTATAAAGTAAGGTCCTAAAGCAGCCTGGGCTCTGTGGTTTTTAGCAAACTTAAATCACAAAGGAGAAATCAGTGCATTTGTTGGGGACTATTTTCAGAACTAATTAATTAATCAAGTAGACTACTGAGAAATAAAGTGTGTACTATTTGGGATTGAATCAGAATTAACTGCAGTGCCCATGTTCATGGTAATGAAGGAACATGCCCCCCAGTGGAATGCTGTGACGCTTTAATTTGACAAACTTGGAGGTCTTTGTCGTACAGGAATAGGCTTTATCAGGTTAGTAGGATCAATTAATGGATAGTTTAAGTCTTTTCGTTGGATTCGTTGACACCGACAAATATATAGAATACCACCCACCTCATCTTTACACATAGAGAAGTAAACAGAGTGCAGAAAAGAAAGCTCTCAAAAGCTGTTTTGATACGTTGTCACTTGAGACACAGCACCTCAGGCACATTTTCCAAGTTTTTTTTTTTTTTTGCTTCCATGCTTTATAAATCATTTGACCTATTGTTCCAGCTGTTCGGTACTACAAGTCTGATTGCACTACCGTGACATTTAACAGCATCTTGATTGTTTAATGAAAACCCCTGCCTGGTGCTGGAGTCTTACTTTCATCGGTGTTGGGTGTTGTTGTCGGTCTTTAATTTTAACATAATTCATCCGACCCTTACTTAAAGAAAATGTAGTTCCAGTGTAATTTAAGACAGCAGGACTTCCAGGACCTCAAACACTTAGCTTGTGAGGGGAGCAGAAACTTAGCATCGTGAAACAGCTGGTAAACGACAACTAAAGAGTCTGTTCTTCTGAGACGCTCGAGTATATGCGTATCTGAGTATCTGTTTCCTGGTTGAATCTCATTGATATCTTAGTGTCGCTTTAGACAAACTGTGCCATGATCAATACAGTAAGTTTAGGAAAGCGGTATTTAACAAACAACACGTTAGTCAGAGGTATTAATAGAACAAATGACGGGAATGGACTTGGTCTTGGCATGCGACGGTGTCCATCACCGCATGGCAATTTAGCTCTCTTAATGTTCACTGCTGCCTCCTTCCTGCTTGTGCTAGCTATCATTACACAGGAGGGGGGCTGGGGTGGATGGGGAGATGGTCTCCGATTACAGCTCCAATTGAAATCTCTGAATAAAATGCATCAGACTACGTTGCCGCACGGTTGTTTCGCTGTCCGTTTAGCTCAATTGCCCCCCTTTTATTTCTGTCCAAAGAAAGTGGTGAACCGATATAAAACCAGTGCTCGTAGACGCAGTCCGTAGCAGAAGACAGTGTCTGGAAATAACAACGGGCCCATGGGGGGTGTTTTTGATGGAGGGAGGTAAGGAGCGGTGTGTGTGATTCAGACATCTGTTGGGGCGTGATCTCTGGGATGAGACATAAATACTGCACTGACACATGATCAGGGTACTGAGAGATGCACACACACAAGATCACTGTACATATAAACAATATAGTCTGAATTAACCGTGCTGAGAGATGCAGGACTGTATAATGACCTTCTGTTCAATCTATATAAACGTAATCACGCTGTAAGTTTAGGAACGTGAAGCTGTGCAGAGAGACAGACGGGCTCAGAGAGGTGTAATCTCATGTCTCTGCCGTTCTGTTACTAGCTGGAAAAAGGAAGCGGCGTAGTGATTTCTTTGCGCTGTCGTCAACCACTCGGATACTCTCTGTGTTGAGGGTGTTAACCATGATCTTTTTGTCTCTTTAGGCTACTCCCACAGACTGTCGGCTTGCTCTACGTCGGCAGCTATGACATGCCCTTTGCAAAGATGAAGGTGAGAAAATATATGTGTTGCTTTGTTGGATTCATCACTGTGGCAAGAACCCAAAGCCCCCCTGTCCTCTTCCAGCTCCCCTTTAGAATGGCACAAGATTTTTGAAGTGATAGTATTTCGTGGAGTTCGCACTGCCAAGCATGAAGGGAATGCATTAGGTTTTTTATTAGGTCTTGCTTTGTGACATGAGGAATGGTACCAGTTTCATTGCTGTTCTTTTATTTAGGGACAAATCTTTATTATTTAATTTGCCTGTTTTATACAAACCTTTTATAAGTTCTAGTAAAAAGATTTCCTGTTTTCTGATCTGCTGGTGGTTTGATTTGATGTCAAACCTAACACTTCCATAGTTCTCTGTTGTCTTGATACGTTCAGGATAATCTACATGTGCAGTTCAACGACATGGTCACCATGCTGTCTCTCTATTTTATCTTTTTATCAGCCTCTGGTGAATTGGTATGTGCTTTTGAAATGATGCTAAGCTAGCTACTGTATACCTTTCTTTCTGTGTAGACCATCAGTATGTACATGTTTGTTTACAAATGATTTACACTTCACAGTGTAAACAACTGATTGATGAAAAGGTTTTCAACAAACATCGAAACTGCCCAAATATCATCATTCTTAAGCCCTTTCCACACAGCACTAGTTACCTGGGGAGCTCTAGTAATTTCAACATTTCATAGACTAAATTATTAATCGGTAAAACATTAAAATAATCAAAGCAGATTATTGATAAAGAAAATTTGCTCTGCTGTAGAGAGGCATTCATCAGCTGTACTCAACATAGTGACTGTTGCATATATTTAACTAAATGACTTGTATGTGTATGTGTAGGCTTTTTAATAGTCACAGTCATGCTTTTTCCCCTCCGGTACCTTTTGTTCCAGATTCCCATGTATCAGCCCCGGGCTATAACTAAACGAGGTAGAGCTCCTCTCAGGCAGACAGAGCTGCAGCCCCGGGGTCATCTTCTGTCGGCTTTCATGTTGCCATTTTTGTTGTGAAATGTGTTTTTACCGTCTGTGTGAATTTGCTGAGAAATGGTAATGGTAACAAGACACAGCGATTTGTGGTGTGTTTGTTTGCAGCCTGCGGTCCACCACCACAAAGTAGTTTTAAAAATTCATTGCCTTGCTCGGGGGCATCTTACTAATGTCGATGTGTCGATTTAGATGTTGTTTTGGGGGCACATCCATTTTACGGCTCATTTAAAAGAAATCAAACCAACTCTTTCTGTAGTTCGAAAAAATTTCGTAATCTTCATGAAAACCTGTTTAATTTGCTCAATATTCTCCTGTTTGTACCTACAGAGAATAACTAAAATAAATATATATAGATACAGCTTTTCATGTGTCGATGCACGCTTCACAGATTACATTTCTATTTATTGTACCTTTTTTTAATGGGAAAAGAAGCCTTCATTTGCTTGTTTATCACTGTTGGTAATGTTGTAACTGAAGCCCATTCCACCGCTGCATATACATTTCATAGATCAGTTAAGTTGGGTTTAGTCTTTACAATGACTATGGTGTGTTAAAAGTTGTATTCTTTCACTCCTTCTGTTGGTTCAAACGGTCATGACTTACATATTTGACCTCCTGTACTTTCCCTAGTCACGCTTGTCTGTCCAGTGATTATGTTGCTGCAACCTGCAGCTGATTAGCTTAGCTTAGCATCAAGACTGAAAACAGTCCAATGGTAGCAAAACCATCACAGCTTCAGGCCCGTGTCCGATCACTCGTGCTTGTTGCCTCATTGTACCTATTATTAGCCATGTCCTCCCCTTTCCAGATCTCGGTGACTACTTAGTTAAATAAAATGCCATCATATCATTAGAGCCGATGGTTGAAGCTACAAAAGTAGAAACCCAAATTGAGATCCACCACTAAAGCCTACTCTTCGGTTCTCCTCGGTATCGTTATTTACATTTCTGGCTTCTAGAAGAGGTGGATTTTGCTGAAGCCTGGTAGAAGTAATGGCTATTGATTCTCCATGTAGGTTAAGTTTCACCACTTCATGGAGTCAGCTCTCTGTGCAGAACTATACGTGGCCTGCTGAGAGTGCAGCTCATTAATCATAAATTAGTTGAATGGTGCCTGACAGATTTAGACGCCAGAGACGGAGATAAGAGCAGATCTCTGTCAAAGACCAGCAGCCCCTTCAGTGAAGCTGTGTGCGCTTCACCTGCTGAGTACTGTCATTTTTAGATTCTATACGCATCAAGGGAGAGTGAGCACTAGTATTCTTTATGTTTAATCAACAGTAACACTTCCCGTTGAACCGAAATTAAAGTGTGTTTATTTTTTAGGTTTTTGTTGCCCACAGCTTTTTGTAAATTACGTGAAATGTGGGATTTAGAACCATGAATACTGTCAAAGTAATTAAAAGTGGTTTGCATAGAAAACCCTCCATCATGCTGAGCAACAAAACAAACTAAACACACAAATCTCTTAGTAATTCTTGTCTTTTTTGACTGCCAAACCTGACGGTGTGCACCTGCTTTCCACTTGTTTGTCCTCAGATCGGATGTGACAGTCGATCTAAATGTGTGGGACAATTATTGGTTTTTATATATATTCTCCAGAGACCCATTACATTGTTGCTGATAGAACATGTGAGGTGATATTAAAGGACAGAAGATGTCTAATGTGTTCTGTTTGCAAGTATATTAAAGATTGAACATTAGTTCAATACCGTATATATCAGCTGGGTTGTCCCCTCTGAGCAGAGTGTTCGTTCACGTTCCTACTTTTGCATCTTATATCCTCTCGCCACTTATATATTTTTTCATCCGGTTTCTCCTTATTACAATGGACCTGAGTGCTGCCGTGTCGCAGACCTGCGGGCCGGTTCTGATTAAGTCTCGAATGAAACAACGGCCCGGTCAGTCGGAGAGCAATGTGGGGCAAAACAAAGCAGCTATGCAAGGAAATTACAAACTTGAAATCTTTTTCCTCCACGCCGCTATATCTCAAGAAAAGTCCTGTAATAAACGGTAGCACAATGTACCGGTACAGCTGTCCCCACAGATCCCAGTGATGAAAAGGCAGGTTAACTGTGTGTGTGTTGTGCACTGACTAGTAAGAGATCATATACTTCCAGTTCTAGTTGTAGTTGTTTGCTTTCTCTGCCAGTTTCTGCTTTACTTCATGATACAGAACTAATGTTTAGTGTTTCCCAGAGATGAAAACCTGCTGTCCCTGACTTCGTACTGATAGTTAATGTGGTGGAACAGCATTTATAATTAATATGTTGATTCCTGGAAGTGACTTAACGGTTTTAAGTACATAAGCTTGTGCCTAAAGGAAATAGCTCGGCGTTTAAAGATATACGCTTACTTGCTTTCTCTCTGAGACTTGGATGAGAAGATCAATACCACCCTCATGTACGCTAACAATGGATCTTTAGACCCAGAGGCTTAGCTTAGCTTAGCATAGAATATAGTAAGGACTCTCTCCCCCGGAAATAACAATAATAAAAGTATACAAATAATCAGTCAGGGAGTGAATTTTGTAACGATAATGTGTGTCTCGCCTGCATACCATGAATTGTGTTTTTTACATTTATGTTGGTGGACAAATTAAATAAACATTAGTGAGCATTAGAGACATTTATTGGCCTTTTTTAGTTCTGGAGAATGCCAGGCAAGCTTTTTCCCCCTTCTTCTTGTCTTCATGCTAAGCTCAGCTAATCACCACCTGGATCCAGCACTGTACTGTGGTATGGATCTTCTTAACTAACGCTCAGAAAAAAAGTGATTAAGTGCAGAATATTAGCACACGTGTACTGCCATAATGAGACCGATTTGGACAGATTAAACACCAAGTGGCGATGAAAAAATGGCAGCCAACATGTCACCGTTCACCAGCAGGAAGAGATCCCAGTCTGCAGCAGAGCGTCCTGCCCTTCTCAGTTCTCTGGCAGCTTGCTGTGTCGAGCTTCAGGAAAGCTTTGCGAGTCTGTCGCTCCCTTTAGATCGTCTGTTCTTCTCCAAACACAGAACTGTTTGATTTACAGTTGGTCTCATTAATGTGCTGTTTGTCTTCAAACTGACATCAGAGGAAATGTTGTGGACATAAATCAGAATTTTGAGACAATGACTAATTAGGCATTCTCGTGAGTTATGAATCAAGGTTGTTTTCTGAAATCCAATAACGAGCATCTCTGTCTTTCTAACTCACACATTTTCTCTGCTTCCTGTGTGATTTCGCACCCCCCACTGTGGGCCCAGATGCCCCACACTCCAGGATCACACAAGCTCTTACTTAGTAGTTGAGCGTCTTGCCAAACACTGGTGCTTTCCTGGCAGTGATGGTCACCGTGTGACACTGAATCCTGGAGGTCAGCCTCTTTGTGTCTCGAGTCTCCTCACAACCTTTCAGCAGACTCAATGAGCACTGATACAAACCATATTGTTTCTGTCAAAGCCAACCGTTGCATTTGATTATTGCAGCTGCACGTTCCGCTTCCTGGCGTCTCTTTGGGATTTTTGCATTCTCCAAGTCTTGAGAATCCTTTCAGTGAGACTCGGTCCCTCGACAAATAAACAACAGCTGCTCAAATGTCTTCTTTGACTCACGCTTGATCTTCAGCGTCGGGTGCCATTTTCATATACTTCAGCTCAGTGTGCTCAGTGCGAGGAGTTGATTTTGTTTTCCAAGCAGAATGTGATGCAATAAGTCAGTGATCCCGTGTAGCTCAGGTGGAGGAGCAGCAACTGTTGCACTGCTTTGTTGAGGGCTTCATCACAGCGCTACAGACACACTGTGTGACTATCTGTCTGTATTCATGTAAGAATCCTAAACATCCAATATCCAACAATAACTTTCTTACTATAAAAGCGATTAACAGAATTGCTGCTTTTCACTGTTTTATATCACTGTGAATTGAATATCTTCGGGTTTTGAGATGTTGGTCTAACTGTACTTATTATTGTCTGACATTTTATGTGCTAAATGATGAGTCGTTCATTGAAATGACTGAGCTGTGGTCCTAATATTGCTCAGTTTAGTCACCACATGACATCATTTTTGATTCCTTAAAGGGTAATGGGTTTCAAAACGTTGACTGCTCACTTCCATTTGTAGCCTCCAGAATGCAATTTGTTTATTGCCAATTTAAATAATACCAGATTATTTTGTCCCTCTCCCTATTAAGAGAGGTGAAACCGGCAAATGTTTTTGCTGCAGGCGAATGCTACTGCTGCCTGGATCAACATAATTCATCATGAGCTGAAAATGTACTTTTTCCTAACTTCATTTTTAACACCACAGTCATTGTGTGCATCTAAATGTTGTCGTCCAACGCTGCCTGAAGCTTTACTCTCCCTCTTAACGGCTACTGAAAGTCTCCACTGGTAACGGCAAAGGTGACGATAATAATAGGAACAAAACAGCAGTTACTTGTGCCAATCATTGTGAGCTGCTGGCATTCATCGATGCAGCAGCACGTCTCTGAAAGTGTCTCTTGAAATACATTAGAGGGTTTATCTTTGTCACTGGCAATGGTGGCAGCAAGAAGACAATAAAATGACACTGGTGTCTCTTTCACTCTGTGTTGTGAAGTACAAACCGTCTTTTGTCCTTTTCATCTTTGTCGTCACAGGCCACAAAGGAGCTGAAGCAGTACGACAACAAGATCATCGAGTGCACCTTCGCCAATAACACCTGGGTGTTCATGAGGCAACGGGTGGACAAGAGCTTCCCAAACGCCTACGCGACAGCAATGGGTAAGACCGTGTCCTCCTCTGACCGACGGTGAACATCTCAAGAGGGAATAACAACCGGTCGGCCTGCAGTAAACGCTCCTGTCGACATCATTTCATATCTATACGAGGTTGTGCTGTTTTTAAAACAGCAGACGGACAAAGATGGTGAACTCGGGTTGTAACGGTAAACCGGTATTATTAGATATTAGATATCGCTTATCTACGGTAAAGCTCAAGTGCGTGTGTGTGTGCGTGTTAAAGGTACAGACAGGAGCAGTTTGGCTGTTATTTTTCCTTTAGTAGTTAATTGAACATGCTTAAGTGCTGCTAACATGAAAACTAACATGCTTCAGTCATACAACATACAGTAGTATGGTTACATGCTATTTTTTATCTAGTTTGTAAATCTGTTTTTCATAATTATGTTCTCATTTCTTTAAGGGTTATTGTAATTGATAATAGTGATAATCATTTTAATAGTGTGATAGCATGAAACAGTGATGTTTTCTGAGAAAATCTTCTACCGTTACAACCCATTGGTGAACATAGTTGAGCATTTAGCAGCTAAAGAGCGTGATGTTTCTCTCAGGAGCTGGTGGAGATCAAAATAGAGCTAAAACGAGAGTGAATATTGGACTTTCATTTGTCAGGTAGCTCGAAACACAACTTCAAATGAATTCTGTCTGCTATCTGAGTAAATAAGCAGCTGTTTGCTAACCTGACTACTTTGTGGCTACGCTTCAGAATGTCAGATTTAGCTCAGAGTGTAAAAGTAATTTAGTTTCACAGTTCAAAAAAAGAAAATCAGAGTGAATAGTTCTGACCGTTTTTTCCACAAATGTTCCTTCACATGAAAATGACGCAGCACAGCTTTAACAGCTTCTTAAAACACAGATGGAGGAAATGCAAAGAGAGAGCAAGACTGACAAAGAATGCAACGATAATGGCTCACCCCAGTAATAAACCTTATTGTGTAAATGCTGTTCAAGGTGGCACATAGAAGTACAAGTTGAAGCAATGAAAACACGAGCAAGAGAAAATACATTTAAAGAATGAACTGAAGTGATAAAAGAAGATGGAAAAGATTGTTCTGAATTATTGAGCTTTAGATCCTCAGGCAGGCAGTTTGGAGCCCGGATGGCAAAAAGCACCTTTTATCTAAAAATCCAGACGGATAGTATTGAATTTCTCCTCAAGCTGATAAGAACACTGAAACAAGTACACACTCGTGTACAACACTTGTTGAAGTCATGGCTCGGTCACGAATGATCCACCGTTACCTCGGTTAATGCTGCTATGCCTGTCAAACTGAACATTCTAGAATATCACATAATAGTTTACAGTGATCAGTGTGGCAGATCGGTCAGTCGACATCAGCACGACGTTTTCCTCAAATTAGAGGTAAAAGGTACGCTGGGCGACAAAAGCTGGAACAAACTAAACTAAGTTAGGCCTTTCAGATCTACTGCGAGTGAACGTTCGGCCTCAAATTAGATTTTGTTGGATTTGCTGAGGTGAATTAACTGAAAGTTATTTTCCTTGTTTCCAAACCGGAGCACTGAGTCTGAGCGAAGGACTCGGTAGAATTCATCGTAACAGTCTTTCGGCACGATCCAATGACTAAGCTTCCTCGAAATGTAGCCGTTGAAGAATCCTTCTCAACGTTGTGTTTCTGTTTCTGTTGTAATTATTTATTTCATTTTTAAAAGGCAAAAATAAAGAAACCACCTTTCAAACTCATTAAATGTCAAGAATCTCTTACTAAAGCTCCGACGTGTAGAAAAGTCCTTAGTTTGACAGCGCTGTATTTGGGGTTTAGTAAACAGTTAATTATGTGTTTTTTTTGCCAGTGCTAAATTCACTGTGTTCCAGGATGCTGCAGGAGCTTGTTACCGTCTCTGTAATAACTTCCTGACTTCCTCCCGTGTTTGTCGTTTTTTTTCTCCCCAGCTGTGTGTAAAAGCATCCAGGAGCCCGTCACGAAGGAAATCCTCTTGGAGTACGTGGACCGCTGTTCTCAAGGAGTCCAAGCACAGAACCGGAAACACCCACCAGACCCAGACGCCGAGCTAATGCCCCCTCCTCCTCCAAAGAGACCCAACCGGGCCGTCCCGTAGCCCACCGCTGGGCTTTCCGGACTGCTCTACAGTCACAGTGTGCATCTACATCACCAGCCACGTTGACACCCCCCCCCCCCCCCAACAGAAAACAGACATGTCAAGGCTTTCTTACCCTCAGCACATTTGCTTTCTCGGCCTGCACATGCAAGGACTTCAGAAACCTTTGATTGACTGCCTCAACGTCATTAATTTACCTTGTAGACTTGTTTGTAGCTTTAATTGCTGGTGTTCTTATTAAAATGAAAAACATGACGCTTAGTTTATTTATTTATTTTTAAAGTCCGAGCTGTTTATCTACAGGGACATTATTTGTATTGAAGGAAGAGTAAACATCATTAACACCCTGTCTGCTGTTTGAATGCATTGAAATCGGGGAAACAATCCTTCAAATGATAGTTTGCAGCATCAGAGGATCTCATTAAGACAAAGCTGCATGTGTTTTGACTTCAATTAACAGAAAAATGTTCAGCCCGTAATGCTAAGTCGGGGGTTTCCAACTGTTTTCATATCTAAGCAGCTCTGTGTTTCATAAGATTGTGTCCGATGGAAGCCCATCTGTGTGGACTTTTTGTTTTAAAGGCCACGCGGGTGGGCGGATAGATGATTACATAGTCTCAACAAACTAACTACAAAGGATTAGATACTGTGAAATCAAGCTACAGATGGGTGACAAATACACATTAACCCAACATAAAGTTTCTTTATAAGGTGAATACTTTTAGTGTTCTTTGAGTCAATTGTTGTTTTGAAGATAGTGATGGAGAGCGCTATCGAAAAAGTGTGTAATTTGGTGTAAATTTGGGTTGAGATCTGGTGTGGAAGTTTTATTTAAGCACTGATTGAACCTTTCACTGCTTTTCATGGATGTAGCGAGACAGCTGGCCACGTAGGAAGGTGATGCCCCCGTCCCCGTCCCCCGTCTTTAACAAGGCTACAGGACCCGGTCCTGAGCTACACTACAGGAGCTGCAATGTAGGAAGGTTACTGCAGACAGCGCTTGAAATGAAAGGGATGATGTGTCCGCTCTGGAGCTCTTTGGTTGTGCCCGACGAACCTTTTTGGTTGGAAAGCGAGCCTGAAGTGCGGACCAGATTTAACTGCGCATGTGTTGTACCCCGATGATATGATGGCATCTCCTCTTTTAATGCTCCTTGATTCCTAATCTCCCTTCCGAAGCTCTGATTGGCCGTCTTGTAGACCTCTGACCCCTGTGAATGAAGATGATTTCCCGATCAGATTTTTAAGCACGCTCCTCATCGCTCCTTCATTTTTATATCATAGGAAAACCTTGTTGCCAGGGAACAATTCAATTTATTTTTCTTACCCTGCTGCCTGTTGCTAGGAGTGTCGCCCATCTGCACTGTTTATCGCCCGCTGTAGTGTTTGTAGAAATGATTTGCTCGGCAGATCTCACATGCCGACTGGTTTATTGACTTGCTTTGGTTTGGTTTAGCCTGTGTAATCAGAGGGAAATAATGTCACGTTTTATTTATTATTTATGTATGTGTTTTTTTTTTAATGAGGGACAATCTCTCTTCTTGGGTGGATGATGCTACCGAAATGATTCAACATTGAGGGATATTTATATTTCTGTCTGACTAAAAAAAAAAAAAAAAGTGTGCATTTCAGAACCAGTGTGTTGTTTGAAATCCCTGTTTCTGTGCTTATTTTAGGATTAGGGTGGAGGCAGCAGTTACTCATGCAGCGTGGAGAATTTAGATCAGAAGTTACGGAGTAAATGTAAGTCAGTGGAGTGAAACACGTGTGTGTGTGAGTGTGTGTGTGTGTGTGTGTGTGTGTGTGTGTGTGTGTGTGTGTGTGTTTTGAGTTCCTGTCTGTTGGTGCCTGAGGTGACTGTTCTCCTTATAGCAGAGATAGATGCGCCGTACACTCCCATGGCTCTCCGCCCCTCTGGCTGCACATGAATGCTGACTGATCCTCATCAAAGCCTCGATGACCTTCTTGTCGTCAGGTTGCTGCCCGCTCAGACGTTGCCACGGTCCTGCAGCAGGTGCAGACACATTTATACCAGTTTTTCTTCTCTTCTGAAATTCCATTCACTTAAATTCATTCTGCATCCTCTCAAAGCGAGCCGCTGCTGTAGTTGCCTGATCTAACATAACCTGTTTTATTCCAAACCCCTTTTTGGCAAAGTGGTTCTCTCTTTGCAGGGTTTCTGCATCTTTCTCCGGGTGGAAGCACGAGAAAATGCACACAAACACAAAAAGGGAGAACCGGGATTATCAATAAATGTGTTTTCTCTGGGGGGGGGGGCAAATCGCAATCGCGTGCAGGAGGCACGAAGGGGAGCGTCTGTATGGGTCAGGGAATATAAATGCACAATGTCCATGAGCACAGGTGCTGCAGCGAAGATTATGAGGCTCCCTCTGTCTTGGCGCAGGTGTTTAGATGCTGGAAGCTGCTGATCTCCACAGCGATATTAAATCAGCACAGGCGACTTGCAGGCCATTATCATCTCAATATCATCTGCATTTTGAATAATGCATTCATGTGGTTCTCACTGTCTCTGTGATCTGAGCCGCAAAACCTACTGTTGAGCTCGAACCAGCTTGCGCGCTGACTTGTTGTTTGATTTTGCCTGCTTAAAACATATTTTACCTTTTTATGTCATCTTGAAAACAATGCAAAAAGACCAATAGACAAGATAATCTCTTCTAATCTTCCTTCACATACTGGTAACATCCCTCTTAGCTTAAATGTATGATTTCTGTAAAGTAAATATATTTACTGGACACCTGAACTTATGCCTGGCCGGGGTCATCCGTGACTATGTTGATATAAAGACTCGACCTGCGTGTGCCCGAGACGGAAGGTACTCAGTGTTACGTGCTGCCTCTGACCGTCATCCAGCATTCATAGAACCGTGGTTACATCCGTAACTTTCGTTTTTATTTTCACCAGCATGAGTTTCTCTAACTTGAAGTCTAATCAAATGAAGTTTCAAAGAAACATAATCATCATAGTAGCAGAACTCCCAGCATGCATTCATTGTTCTGTTTGATAGTATTCCTCTTCAAATTAGCATCTTACATTTATTGAAATTATTGCAAGTTCAGTGAACTGAACTGAATGAGTTGGTTCTGTCAACTTCTTCCCAACTCATCTACGCTTGGACATCTTAAATTCTATCATTCTATCCATGATTACGATTTTTTTGGTTAATAGTTTTCATTGATTAACGGTTCCAATTTATTTTAATTATCTATTGAACCATTTAGTTGCATTTTCACCCAAAAGTTCTAGAAGACAGCTGACTTTCCACTGCACTAATCTTAGAATCACGAATCATCTGATTGATTTGAATAACGAGCTTTGCTCTTGATAATGAAGTCAGACAGCTCTGACCTGATTACGCTGCTGAAATTAGAAATGTAATCGCATAAATCTTTCATCTGCTGGAGTCGGGGAGGCATGGCGCAACAAATCTATTATAGCAGATTCTCCTCCTCATAAGCGCTTCTGAGGCGTGATGCCATGTGGCAACAGATGACTCCTATTTGGGGGGGTGGGGGGCGGCAATGAAGCTGAAGCTCCATCAGAAGTAGCAATCAGGAGGTGGTTGTTTGTGACGGCACATTCTGCTGCCACCATTTGCAACAGGAGCACGGCGAGGCTGCCATCGTCGTGTTAATGTTTGAGCTCTCTGCTCGTATGTCATTTTTAAATCAACATGGCACAAAGGTGAGCCTGAGGAGGGAGGAACTGCAGTTGTGCTTGCTGTTGCATTTCTGGAGACTCCTCGAGCCACTGAAATAACTTAATGAAGCCACAGCGAAGTGTCAGTTAGAGCATCTTTAGTGCTAATGTTGCATTTTTTTTTTGTGAAATTATGTGGGCGGGATGTGGTTACTACCGATCCTCAAGATTTAAGTGGGTCGTTCAAAAGTGGGTGAAGAGTGCGCTATAAAGTTTTTGCCAACTGAAACGCAAACACACCCCTGCTATGACATCACTCCGATAGCAGCTACATCATGAGTAGCTTCAAGTATTTTAACATTTACAGAAAAGAAAAGAAAGGTATTTTTATATAAAAACATGATTTCTTTTTACATATATTTGGCACAAACATTAGTAAAATGAAGACAGTCAAAATGTTTTCTATTTGTTTATTCTACTGTCTTTAAAGGAAAAACTACAGTTAATTAAAGCTTTTAGTTTTATTTGTGTAGCTCAGCCCTTGACGTCCATCAGTTAGGATAATATTGTCACAACTGGTGAAGGAAAGGTGCTGAGATCTTGGAACTCGGTGATAACGCAAAAAAAATGTGTCACACAGCGGTGTTCAGGTGATCGGACAGGTTCTAATCAAACCCAGGCTTAGATTTATTTCGATAAGAAACAGATGAAAGCGGTACAGACTTTGGTTTAACTGCCTCGTAGTTAAACTCACCATGTCCCTGTGCAAAATGAGATTATTAGCGACATTACGAGTGTTTTCAACCTGTATGATTGTCTGACTGCCTTTGTTTGTTGTTTAGCAATGTTGCAACATTACAAGATCGTCAGAAGTCCAGTAGCATTGATGGTCAGAGCTATAAAAACAAATCCCAAATTGTGATAAAGTTTAGTTTTCAATAAATGCATTTTCAATATTGCTTTTTTTGGGCTTTGTTGTTGAAGACCTCCAACAAGCTTTGGTTCAGGTCAGAGCAGACCAGGCTATTAGAACATTCTGCCTATGTTGTGTTTAAAGCATCAACTTTAAAGCTTTTAGGTCAAACTGCAGTCACACTTAATGGCTCTAAAAGATTTTGAAAATGTCACTCACAAAAAGAAAATTACACCTCCTGGGTGAATGTATCCCTCCACCTCCTGCTGACATGCTCACATGCACCAAAGTTAATGGAGTAAAGAAAAAACATGAATCATGTCGCATTCTTTAATTTTCTGGGTTTTTACTCCTTGGTAGCCAGCAGGCAGGAAAACAAATCATTGACTGTATACAAACTTGGTGGAACTGCAGAAGACTTATTGGTAAAGTGATTTCATGTTGATTACAGCAAATGTTGGTGCGCTGAAGGAGGAGTGCGATGTACTCGCTGGAGACACCAAAATAAAACGGGGAAAATTCAATGAAAAAATGTCCTGACCTTTCCAGTGTAAATGTTGGCAATCGTTGCCACTTATTTCCCTGCCACTCTGCCTCCAGTCACTGGGGCTTTAATAGAGCGGGCGCTGAATAACTGATTCAAACAGGGAGAAGTGGCGATTAACACGCTTCAGAACTTCACTGATTTTTACAAAACAAATGTGGAACAGATGTCACAAACTGGAGGTGTAACAGATGTGGCATTTTTCAGACCAAGCGTTCACACCGGAATCGGACGTTACAAAGACGCAACACTGCAGCTATCTCAAGGTAGACTGTAGAAATTTGAAGTGTGCACTTGGAAATAATGTAATTGGCCTAATTAAGCTAAATGACATTGAACTGCTTTATGTAAAAATCAAGCTAAGTTCAGCTTTTTGATTTTGACTTTTTGAATGTTTTTTTTTGTCGGTCTTTTCCCGGAGCATGGTCTCGTTGAAATAGATGAAGTGAACTTAGTGTCACGATATATCTCAGCCTCTGCTGCATCAAATGTGAGCTTTTCTTTTTACATTTCACGGAAATGCAGTGAAGGACTTTTAATGTTTTTTCGAGAAATGGAAATAAGGTGATTTGCCTGTTCGCTGCACCCTTCACAGAGCATTTACCTGTGTTCCAGGGACATGAGATGAATCAACCTCTGCTGTGAGAGAGTACTCGACAGTAGCAGGTTGGACACACTTTACTGCACTGAGAGCATGCTCCATCAGAAGCACCAACAGTTTTTTTTTTTTCTCAAAGCAGCAGTACTTACTAGCCTCACGTTGTTATAGTTTCAAAAATTCAATAGTTCAAAGTTGAACACCGTTCAAATAAATAATTCAGACCTATGCAGAGAACAGATCTGATTGGTGTTGCTGCACTGAAGCCCATAAAGCTCTCCATTCAATAGCAGATTTCAGGTTTGAGTGTGCAGGATATTTGATGCCCGCAGTAACCAATATGCCGTTGATGCTCCTCCTGGGTCTCATTGCAGACAACAATGTTAAATTGGTTTGTGTTTGTTGTCAATATGTACTCATTTTCTTTCATTTTTACAACTTGCTTTTCTGTTTGATTGACGGTTTTCACAACACGGCGACCTGAGATGGCACTCACCTGTCACTCAAAACAGCCACGCCCTTAATTATGCCTAATTAAAGCCTCAACGTGATTTAAATGTGTGAGTTTCATAAAATGTCACGCCCCCATACAGTTGTCGTGAATCAGCTGTAGAGACCAAAAACATATTTTTGTAGACGTGACTGTAGGCGTGTTTATTTCTGCTCTAAAGTTTGGCATTTTAACTTTGGGGGTCTATTGACTCTCTTTTCAAGAGGTCATTTGATCAACTGCAGTTTTTGGCACTTCTGCAACGC